GCATCAACAACAACAACAGCAGCAGCAGCAGCAGCAATTAGGTGTCACCTTGAACACTAACACAATATAACTCAGTGCATTTATAGTTAAGCAACATCAGCCAAACAAATGATCTGTGTTTTTATGCTGTACTTTTCTCTTGCTTGTTTCCCAGGATACCATCACATGCCTGACTCGGGCCACAACAGTAGATTTTACAAAAGCAATGTCTCGCATGACATGGCAGGTAATGGACATAGAAATGCGCACTGTATAAAATGAGTGTGGTACAGTAAACATGACTCATATTCTGAGTCAATGATACATGTTCATCATCTGAAATGAATCTATACGTTTTGTTAGAAAAAAACAAACGTGTGATTAATGCGAAAATCTGGAATCTAAGAGTTCGAGTTAATTAAAATACTGAGAAGATCCTCTTTAAAGTTGTGCACATGTAAGTTGGTATTACTGATTAAAAGGTTTTGACATTTACAGTAGGAAATTTACTAAATATCCAAATAGATCATTTTGACCCATACAGTGTATTTTTGGCTGTTGGATTATAGCAGAATAAGAGACAGGGTCACAAATAGAATTCAGATATCATTATTATAAGTGACACTGGTGTCTGCGCACATAGTGTGTATTCCACTACATGTGAACAAATTGACTATATAAAAAAGGAAATGACACACAAATTGTTGCTTTAATATATTGTTTTTGGATTCATTCTTTATGATGTTCAGCAGGACACTTGCTGCATAAAGGAGGAAGTGTGACAGGGAAGAGGGAGAGAGAGTCGGAACGAGATCTAGATGGTGAAGATGAATCCCTCTCCACTTCGCACAAGTTACAACGGCAAATCGCAGAGGTCACTTCAGTTTATGCCTCTAGTGGGAATCAGTCAAGTATGGTAAATATAACTCTGCTAAATCTTTAATTTCTAAATGATTGGAGATGATGTAAAATATTGAATTTGATATGTTTCTGTTTTATTTTCAGAGGAGTTAAAAATGGACATATCAAAAGACTGAGGAAGAAAATACAAAACATGGCACAGTTGAATAGGACGACTTTCTCCATTTGTGTGTGGATGCGTTTTTTCTCATGTTTGAGGGAAAATCTGGTTTTATTTTAACCCCCTGCTCTTTCATGTTCAAAGGATGTGAATGTTAGCTCAGAATTTGTTTTTATCATTTACTGAAATTCATTTGCTTTAAAAAGAATTAGTTTTTTTTTTTTCATTTGACAGACACGAACGTCTTTTTATTTTCTAGTCTTCTTGGAAAAGCCCCTTTCTTTATTGGCAGTCTTTGTGATTTGCTTCACCACTGTTGTGGTTGAGGTTTTATTTACTGTCAAGTGAACCCTACCAAGTGGGATAGACAGATCAGTTTTTAACCATCATGATAAAGCTGAGCTTCATTCTACATAAATTGCAGCTAGATTTTGTAAGTATTTTTGCAGTTTGGTCGGCACCCACACCATCCATGAACCTGCAACCACCATAAAACACTTTTGTACAGTTTTCGCAGACATTTTCTCATTGTACATTTTCACTGATGCTCAGTAGAGTGGTTTACACGCCACGTTTTGTAAACAGACAAATTTATACAGTTATATTTTATATATTGGTGTTTCGTTCTTTGCCAGTTCAATGTTTTAGTGTTGCTCTGAAAATCGATATAAATATTCAATACCAGCAGAGCTGACATTTTAAAGTAGCTTTTAAAATCCACCGAAAATGAACAACTGATCTTAAACACTCGTGTTTTTAACTCTGGACACATTTGTAAATTCTATCAGGGAAAGAACTGCGGTTCTTGAATGTTTTTAAACAGGCTACAGCATTAATGCTTCTAAACCTTAGCTTACAGTATCTTCTTCATCGTCTTGCTTGGCAGACACACACAGACAGCTGATCTTTACGGTCAGGCCTTAAATACTGATAAAAACGCCAACCTAGACTCTGCCAAAGCCAGGAAATGACAATGGAAAAGAAAATCATCCTTGTTCAACAACTATCATCAGTATGTCTGTGAAACTAACTTTTATGGATCAAGCAAATCTGTGTAAATAGACACCCCATTCTCATCTCTATCCCTCAAGATCTCTCAGCATAGCTTTTACATGCATGTTTTTTTTTCATTTTTGTTTAATGAATCTTAATAAGTCATTTAGATCAGTGTTTCTCAAATACGTTCATGGAAGACCACCAGCTCTGCACATTTTCCTTGTCTCCTTTACCAAATACGCCTGATTGAAATCATTAGCAGAGACCAGTAATGGGTGTGACAAAGGAGGTCCTCCAGGAACATGGTTGAGAAACACTGATTTAGGCTAAACGAAACATCAAGAGGTGTCATCTAATCATAACATGGCATTTTACATTGACTGACATTCCTAAAATAAGCAAAGCGTTAACCGATTTGAATTTGAAGTTATCCCACTGCATCCCCCTTTGACAATGTTCTTGATAGTTTTAAAATGAGAGTAATTAACATCTGCTTTCTAATCTAATTAGTCTGGTAACCAATAATTAGGATTATGAACTATTAGGATTGTTAGGATTATTTGTATTCTGTGTATTTGGCCACAACTGCTTTATACCAAATGCCTCCTACAGACCAAACATCAGTTTCTCAAATTTTAACTGTTGGTTTTCAACCAGATTGCCTGAAAATATAAAATAAATATCTTAAGTATAAATATATGTGTTTTAGTAACCTAAAGCAGCAATTTTATGAGATATTGGGGAAAAAAATCTGCATCTTTTCAAAATTGTATATTTCACTGTCATTAAATACTAACAAACATTAGTCACAATATTAAGGATGGGGAAATCTGTTCTCTTATAATAAATTCACCACAATTTTAACAGTGTCACCAACACAGATGCTTTAATGACAGCTCCCCATGTAAAACTAGATTATGTATATAAATATATGGGCCCTTGAGTTCATGTATGGTTGTTAATAACGGTGATCTGGCAACCCCTCACTGAACTGCACTAAATCCGTTTGGCCTGAGTTTGTGTTTGTATTGCTGGATCTGCTTTGACACTGTGACATCTGTATTGCTGTTGCCGACCAGAAGTGTTCAGTTCTAATGTGAATGTTTTGATATGATAATTATAGAAACCTCAGTGCTTTTTGACTGTAATATCTCTGTGCTATTATAGTTTTGTCACGGCAGAAGCAAACAGTTTCTGTTTCTCCCCACTAAAGATAGTCATATGTTTGGGTTTTGTTTTGTTGTTTTGTTTTTCTTTGTGGAATAAATGTGATGTCACGTCTGAATCTTGTCCTTGAAGTCTGTAAACAGTTGTAAAAGTAAATCTGATTGAAAAACTGGATTTGTTTTGCTGTGTTTTTGTGTGTGATATAGTAAGTACACTGACTTTCATTAGCTGTTGTTCTTCTTGACCTTGTACCTTCCATATCCGTTAACATACTTTTTTTGTCATACTTTTTTATGCTATAAAACCATATACGTATTATAATATTTTTTTGTACAAGTATCATATTGTAGCTGAAAATCATGTTTTGGTCTGAATTAATCAGTGCATCTTTCTCCATCATTCATTGTGAAATAAATTTTACATGAGTATATATCAGGGATGCCCAAAGTAGGGTTCGTTGACTCAAAGAAACCTTTGATTTGGCCTGCCATCCCATCTAAGAAGAGAAGAAGAATGAGAGCAAGGAGGGCCGGTATCCTGCAGAGTTTAGCTCCAACTTGCTTCAACACACCTGCCTGCAAGTTTCTATCATGCTATTTAGGGCTTGATTAGCTTGTTTAGGGGTGTTTGATTAGGCACCCCTGGTTTAAAGCATAGGTCTCAAACTCGATTTCTGGAGGGCCGCTGCTCGGCACAGTTTTGCTTCAACCCTAATCAAACACAGCTAATCCAACTAATCAAGGTGTTCATGACTACTAGAGACTTATAAGCAGGTGTGAGTTTGCTGGTTGAAGCTAAACTATGCAGAGCTGCAGCCCTTCACGAGTTAAGTTTGAGACCGTTGGCCTAGAGCAGTGTTTCTCAACCACGTTTCTGGAAGACCACCAGCTTTGCACATTTTGCATGTTTTGTTTAACCAAACATACCTGATTCAGATCATCAGCTCATTATCAAAGATAATGCCTATTATGGAAGTGACAAAGGAGACAACCGAAACATGCAGTGCTGGTGATTCTCCAGAAACGTGGTTGAGAGATTGTTATTTCAAATCTAATGTAATCTTTTGTTTGTTTGCTTTATTGCTAAACACTAACTTAAATTTAAAGTTTCAGTAAAATGGTGTAAATTATTCAGATTTAGTTTAAATGTTCATACTGTCATCTGACGGATAAAGAACAAATCTAGGCAAAGACACAGCTTGACTAGTGTTTTATAAATGTGAGTTTGTTTTATTGCAATGTTATCATTTTAAATGTTACTGCATTTAATACTTCATGAGTTAATATGATTTAAAGTTATGTTTTTATTTACTTTTACATCTTAAGAAATTAGGAAATTACTCATAACAACTTGTAATATAGCTTGGTATTGTACCATTTGGTCCTCGACTCTCAATGATATTTGGCTTTTGGCCCATTAAACAAAAAAAGTTTGGGCACACCACTATTACCTAAATATTTTCTTTGACATCTTTTAGTTTTTTACTATATTTTGTATATATTTCAATATATCTGAATTAATCTGTGTGTCCCCATCATGCATTGTATAATCAGAATTTTATCATTTTATTTCTATATTAGAATATCTTATTTTATTTAAAATGTATCTATAAAGTCTAGATTCTGCAACATCAGGTTAATTAAATATGTTCCCATATCCTTTTTTTAAACAGGAAATGATGTCACTTACCCTCGCTAATGAAACCTGGAGCACTGAAAGGTATGTGTGCTGTACTGTCTTGCTAAAATGTTCTAACACCAGGAGTTTATAAAACGTCAGAATTTACTACAGCATCAAAAGGAAAACAGAAGAACATCACCTATTTAACCGTTTGTTTAGTCTATTAATTATGATTTAAAGGTGTCGAAAGAGAACAATCTCAACTTGTTTTAGAAATACTAAAATAAAAGCAAATATTGAACACAAAAACAACGTTTTCTTAGCAGCTTATAACAAAATAGATTGAAGAATTGATGTTAATGATTAGACTGTCTAACTTTTATACTTAAAAAATGTACGGTTGTGGAAAGAAGGGCATATACGCAATATAAAATATATTAGGTTATAACCAGGTTATTTGATTGTTCGTTCTGCTGTGGCGACACTTGATGGATCGGGGAACCAAGAAAAAGTATCTTGTGAGCCTCATATTAACTGTAACATGTAGCTTCAACCGCCAAAGGGCGCTGTTGAGAAATTGTGCCGCTTTCCCCCAGATTGTTTTGTGTTGATATTTTTACAATATACCTTCACCTATATTTTAAGATTTGGTCATTTTCTTTTCTAACGAACAAATGAAGTACTTTGCATGTTTTTTCACTTCAGTATTATTTGGTCATTTGATTATAAAATAACTTGATAAAATAGATAAAAAAACAAATATTGAAGCACCTGAATTAACTTTGAAGACCAAATTATCTTGTTTCACCTTTTTGTTCTGTTTCCCACAAAGGTAATGGTGGAGGTTTATTCACACATAACGATTCTGTTGAGGCTTGGCACGAAACAGGTGAGGCAAAAAGGGTTGAGATCTCCTAAATAAAACATGTGCCAGATTATTTGATGGTTCATTCCGCTGTGGTGACACTTGGTGGATCTTAAAACTAAGGAAAAGTGAGCATCTTGTGAGCCTCATATATATTAACTGTAACATGTAGCTTCAACCGCCAAAGGGCGCTGTTGGCACTTTTGAGAAACTATGTTAGGTTGTGCCGCTTTTCCCAGTTTGTTTTGTGTTGATATTTTTACAATATACCTCCACTTATTTTATAAGAATTTTGCCATTTTCTTTACTAACAAACAAACGAACACCAAACTAACTTTGACCACCAAATTCTCTATTGTTTCACCTTTGTGTTCTGTTTCCCACACACCACTATTCTCTTCTTTCTGAGGTTTGGCACAGAACAAGTGAGGCAAAAAAGGGTTGAGATGTCCCGAATCCACAAAAAGCAGGGAAATTTGGCCTCTCCGAGAGCCATTACAGCACCTACTCTTGTTTTTTTTAGGATTCCCCTGTGCCCTGAATGCACAAGTATGACAAGGCGATGCAATGGAAAACTTTTTTCTACTCTAAACTGGCATCGTGAACTTGTGAATCAGAATGAAACTCACTAGCGTTTCCTGTCCTCTATTCTCGGTGGTCCATGGCTCCGGTTGCGTTGTTTTTTCGGTGCCCAGGACCTCAGTCCAGACCCTGATTTGTATGTTAGTGTACTCAAGGGGCCAAAACTAGTTGCCAGAGCAACTGTGTTGAATCTCTCACGGACCCCCCGTCCCCTTCCACCCCCTTCTCAGAGCTCTGCGAAACAAAACAAACATTGTCCCTTAACAAGGCACGGAGAGACAGCGTTCTGTTCAGAAGTGCGGGACATTCAGGTCATATTAGTCCTTCCTCATTGAGTTTAGTCTGAGAATAAGAGAGTCCCCACATGCTGGACACTCACTGCTTTCTCACGTCTGCTGAGGGTGACTTGAAATGGGAAGCCCTGGATTCACCTCTCCATCTTGTCATCTCACCCAAGTCGAGATGGCTCTTAAAAGGTGCACACAAATATTGATTGAGTGCATCCTTTAGAAAGGAGGAAGTGCCAGTGGCTGAGGTTCGAGTAAGAGGCATGGGATCTGTCCTTCATACTCTCCTTTCAGTGCAAAATGGGAAGTGGACTGACTCGTGGCATCATAGTCAGACAATGCAGTTACATAATCTTTGTGTCATTGTATTGTTTATTGTTTACACACATTTTACACTGAAAACAGTTGGTTCGTTTCAAATTTGTTGCAAACAATTTATATAAGCAGAATTGAAACTAATTAAGTTGACTATTTCTAAATTTAATTTGTTTGTTTAAATTCAGCCAATTTCAGTCTATAGATGTGACAATTTGGGTGATATGAATATTAAAACAAGCTCGTTTCAAATTTTACATTTTTAATGAAAGTTTCAAAGCATAAAGTCAGTAAATAGTATTATTATTATTATTATTGTTATTATTAAATATATATAGCAATATAAGGATATATTATGACTCTATTTCTATGGAGTTATGAACTGATAAATTCATCAAAATAGGATCATTATTTGTTAGAACAACACAAACTATTGCAGTTGAACACTCGCACGTTTCTTTTATTTTTTGGTTTATATGATAAATGACTTCATTAATTTTGTTAACAGACAGGCTAAACTGCAACTTGGCCAACTTTATTTAGCAATAATTCAATTATTCAACGAACATTTCAGAACAGACTTTTTTTCCCAAGCTATATAGTGTAAAGTAAGTAAATAAATCTTGACCTTTCTTCCAACAACTTTTAACTTTGGAAAGTTTGAAAAGGTGACTTTTACGAAGGTTTTTATGAGTTTAAAGTGATCTATTGTCAGGGTTGGCGTATATTACACTACAAAAACCCTGTAATAAACTGCCAGTATACATTTTCTGTTATTTTACAGACTTATTTCTCTTTATATATTTTTTTACACGTTATTTCAAACGACTATAATGTTAATAAAAGTCACTTTTTTAAACCTTAGAGTTGGAAGTTTCATCATCAAAATTCAACAGAGCAGCGATAAACATCCCATGATGCTATTCACAACCACAAATAAACAGAAAAAATAGTGAATCATAAAATACGGAAACTGTTCATCAACTGATTTTTTTTTACAGTGAATGTTATTTTAGTTGGGGGTCCTCTCTGCACATTTGCGTGCTTGTGGCATCAATGCATGCATCGAAAAATCTTGTTGTTTTGAGGTATTGGAAACATTGATAAAAGCTGTCATCCCTGATCCTCTGTGGATAAAATGCAACAACAACAGGCTCAAAAAATAACCAATAAGATGTCAAATAGTTTGGCAACCTGGTTATACTCTGTCAGCAAACTGCTAAGGTGTACAGTAAAACTCTAACACATTTAGAGATCTGCAAGCCTGATCTCCTGAGAAAAACATAATATTACTTAATGCCAAAAAACAGCTAATTAGTACAAAACAAGCAAACAACAATTCTATGTGATTGTTGCATGGACCTAACTAAAGATTATATATTGACATTTAATATTAATACAATGGTGGCCAAAATTATTAGAACACCTGACAAATCTGAAAATATGGCCTTTTTGCCTCATTATGATTTGATTTCATAATGTTGACAAAACATGCTGCTCTGA